GAAAATAAATTATTTGCCTCTTCCCACGGTGAACAGCGACACCACGACTAGAAATCACTCTGGATGCCGTGGACGATTTTGCGCGCCAATTGCATTTTGAAGCGCCAGTCGCCATTATCTAGATTTTTAAAACATTGTGATACTCTTTATTAAGAATTTCTCATATATAACGCTAAGTTGTTTTGCTGATTTCAAAGCTAAGATTTTGAGTCTAGAAAATTTACAAATATCGTCTTATTTTGAAGAAAATGTCATTTTTCTATGAATTTCTTTCAGCAAAGCATGGGTCACAAGAGAAAAGTTGGCGAAGAGAATGGCGGTGATGTGACTTATTTGAATGGGGAAATCAAACCAGATAAGGCAATGTTTCAACCTAGAATTTCCTTTTTCTCTTCCTGTTCATGTCTTTTAAAGTTTGTTTGCATTGTTTAGATGTTTAGATGCTTCTCTTTTTTGGAAACTTACCCGAACCCCTACTGGACCACATCAATCCGCAGAAAACTTTTACTGCCAAATCTTTAGGGGGAGTAGGGCGGAAGGCGACAAAATTTGGAAAATACTTACAGGAAAAATTCAGTAAAAAAATTTGTCCAAGTTTTGCTGCGCTTTTTGCCTAAGCATAATCAGTGAATCTTTGCTATGGAACATAAAGGAGTGCTGGAAAAGAAAGTGAAGTGTCAAAAGCATGCGAACTTAGTTCACAGTTTGTCGCTTTCCGCGTGTTTCCCATCTTTAGGTAGTAGGGATTTAGAGATATAAAAATCTTTTTTGTACCCATCTTCCTGTTCTATAATGTTGACGGCATCAGTAAACAAGCTCTCTTCCGCATTTGTAGAGATGCAACCTCGACGAAACTGGTAAAATTGCCTAAGCTTCTAAGTTTAACGTATTTACTTTTAGGAGATGTTGCACTTGGAACCTACTGTTAGGCGAAAATCAAAATCCTTCCGCGACAGGTACGCGCTTTATCTCGTGCGGAAACCTATAGAGGTCTGTGTTTAATCTCAGCTATCTTCCCTATCTCTCGCCAAATAAATGAAAAGTTAAATTACGATAATAATTTGCAGATCACGCCTGAGGATCTCACTATAGCAAACATTCCTTTAGAAGATTGCGCAAAGAGTGAAGAAATAGTTACAATAGGTAGGTGCTTTGTGCCCGCAGAATTTTAGCTGTTTTGTCTATCAAATTTGTCTTTTTCTGGGCATCGTGTGCATCTATATATATTACCTGTATTCATTGTATCTAATGGTCTCTTTTTATCAGTGAAAGTGCTTATTTGATAACATTTGTTTGTTTCACTCAAAACTGCGTTTCATCAATATGCACTATCATAGGCAATAACGAATTCGTCGTTCGAGGCGCTGGCTTACCTACTCAAACATTTCATATCCCGTCTAGCACTCTGCACGCTTCGGAAGCAGCGGCATCAACTGAGGCTGGTATGCGATTTGCTAACTCAAGATTATCTTTCACTATTCGGAATTTACAGTTGGTAAAGTCACAGGATCTGTAGTCATATCGAGGGCAGAGTTCGACCTTGTCGACGGCGTCTTTGAAGAAGGTGACTTGATTTTTTTTCCATTTATATTTTTGCCTTTGCTGATCTTACTTTTAGGTAATGATGTCCCGCTTGATCTCATCCAACATTTACCCCTCAAGCCTATCAAAAAGAAAGTATCCCGCAAGGGAATTAAGCGTTTGCGACAGCGATTGAGCGCAACAGGCGTAAAGAAATTAAAAACTAGTGATATTGCAATTGTTGAAGAGGATTTATAGGTTTTATATCAGTCTTTGATAACTTCACGTGTTTCCATCGATTTTTCCATTTCATAAATTTCATTGTGAAAAGAAATTGTTGTTGATCAGACCTCTGCACTCTGATATGTGCTATATGTGATATTGTTTATTTTAGTATTCTAAATAGCAGTTTGAAGAATTGCATGATAAATTTTGTATAAAGTCATGCGTGTACTAATACTCATATCAGTGTTTTCGCATTGATATCGAGACTAGCCAATCTTTTTGTTTTAAGCAATTAGTGCACCTCTTCTACTTGCCAAAAACTATATCGTCTCTTACTCCCCTCCTTAGATTAGACCATACCTATAAAATA